AACTTTGGAAGAGTGCGAGTGCGTGGAAAAGAATGGGGGGTAGGAAGTACATCAACCATCTCATAGCTTATTAATGCTCAGAATAGTGCAGTTGAGGAAATTCGTCGGTTGAAGGCCAGGAATGCTATCTTGGAAGGCCAGCAAGCCCAAGGGGTTCCGGTGTCAAATTATGAAGTGGCTCGTTTGACAAAGGAGAATGCTGATCTCATGGCGCAAGTAGAGAACCTGAAAGCAAAACTACTCAATGAGTAAAAGTCGACAAATGCCCGAATAGACCTCGTTCTCCAAACGCTTGCTGCAACTACCAAGCCCTTTACTCCTAGTGCCCCCTAAGTACCCCTTTAGTGACCAGTTTCTGGTTGTTAAGTTTTCTTTGATGTTTTGGCGGATGTTTTTGTTTTCTTTTTTATATGGTTGGGATGAAACACTACTGCTCCCGTTTTAACAAGTCCAATATTGCCTTTCGCTTTTTCAAAGCAAAGTCATATTAAAGCTTTATTAATATCAATCCTTGTTTTATTATGTCAGTACTCTCATTCTATGTTTCTATTCTCTATCATGATTGTGTGCACATATGTGGCATGAGTTAGCTTAGCTGGACTTTTCTATGCTATTATTATGTCTGTTCTTTTTAATGATGCCAAAAGGGAGAAAAATAATACGGTCATCAACTTAGGGGGAACACATGTGTGTGTTACAAAAGGCATAGAGTCAGGGGGAACCTGTGTTCCCCTATTACTTAATCTGGTTCTTACTGCTCTAAATCCACTATATAAATATTAAGTTTTTCATCATCAAAAGGGGGAAATTTATAGGTTTTAAATGTTCTTGCCTTATGTTTTGATAATCTAACAAACTTACTGTTAAGAACCAGATAGGGAACCTGACCTACTCGGACTATACTGCAACCTTAACGAATTCCAACTAAAGGTGGGCTGCTACAACTTCAGGAGCCAGGAACCCAAACAAGGATCTGATACCCTTGTGGTTCCCTCATCACAATATAAGTAATTGGTCACAGTTGGAAATGAAGTGACTAACTGCACTGTTTCTGCCGCACTGCACTGTCTCCAGCGCCCAATCATTCTCTGACCAACTAAAGTGCTCACATCATTTCAAATGATATGATCAAGGTGTACCTATAATGAGTTTATACAAAACATCACTTGAAAGTTTCAGTTTCTCATTCAAGCTTCTTGCAAAAACAGAGAAATCAAGCCTCACAAGCTTGAAGAACAAAGTTGAACGCAGCTATGGGCCAGTTCCTAAAAGATAGCTTGTTGTTGTCCTAGTTGAGTTGTAACTTTGTGATTGTACTTATTGTATCTCTTAAACTGCTTAGCTAGAAGTGTTTGATTAGGAATCCTCTTGTAAATCCGTAAACTCCTTGAGTTTATGTTGTGACTAGGTTTAGTCATAAGCAAAAACCTTTGTAACCGTAGAGTGACAAAGTGGCTTGTGGTGAGAGCATCACAAGTTAATAAAAGTCTTTGTAACTAGGAAGTTACAAAGTGGCTTGTGGTAAGAGTACCACAAGTTAGTTGAGTAAATTCTTTGTAATGGAAGTCATTGCAAAGTAGTTTGTAATATGTTTTTTACAAGTTAGTGAAGTTAACAGCCTACAGGTGTAAGTCGTAGTTTTTTGATCCCCTTGTGTGAGATTTTTCCACGTAAAACTCCTCTGCCTTATTTACATACTATTTTATTAGCATTCTCAGCAACATCTTACAGAGGACCACGTACTCTACTGTTTGGTGGACTCACACAAACTAACACAATGCATTGCCTTGGATGCACATCTCTATGCTAGACGTTTCACCAAGCCTGTCTTTACAGTTAAGGCTTGCGTTCCTCTAACGATTGATAAAGTCAATAACTGGTTCACTCTTCCGTTGACGAGTATTTCTGAGTTCTACCATGCTCACAATGCACCTTGTGCTGTAAAAAACGATTGAGGAACTCTTGCTCTAGTTGATCCCAGCTATCAATAGATCTAGCCTCGAGGTCTGTGTACCAGTCAAAAGCATTTTCTTTTAGTGAGCGGACAAATTGCTTGATGAGGTAGTCTCCATTAGTCCCAACATTGTTGCACATCTCAACAAAGTGCGCCATATATTGCTTTGGATTACCTTTCTATTAAACTGTTGAAACTTTGGAGGTTGATAACCAACATGTATATTCAACATATCGACCCTTATAGTGTACAACTTTGCATATGTTAGGGAGGACCTGACATCAACTTCATACTTGTTCTTAATGGTTCCTTCAATGAACTCATTCAGTTGATCGATTGGAATCATCCCTTCAAATGAGACGGGGATAGCCTTAGCGGATGCTACTTGTCTTGGGGGAGAATCACTCTCTGGAACTTCTGGGAGCTTGCTAGGTGCGTGGGTGGATTCTTATTCCATCAAGATTCCCACCTTATCTATTGCATGCACTTGGTCAAGCGAGTGATTGCTTCCGTCAAGTTTTCCAACTGCTCCTCCACAGATGAAGTGTTTGTCACCATGGCTTGTATGATTGTCGTAGACGACAGAGAGTAGCATGAATTTTCACACAGATTGATCCTTGATTGGCTCACGCTATATGGTGTAAGTGGGGAGGATCCATCACTTGAAGCATCATCATCTTTCTTCACAACATAGTGCTTGGATCCGGAGAGGCCAAGCAGAACAAGAGTTTTGTTGATCTTTTAGCAACGTCGCTTCCTCCTTCAGGTACGTTTGTGGAAGATCTTGCTCCTTTTGAGGATGAAGATCCGAAAATAGGGGTTGATGTGGCCATCACTTGGGGTGCTTGTTGTCCTAACGAGCTTGTTTTACTCCTCGTAACTGGTCCAAAGCTTCCAAAGGTAACATCGAGGATGCTTCCCACATCAGCATAGAAGCTGAAATTAATAGGCTTGGTGGAAGTTGAACCGGAGTTGATTTCCTTTGAAGCAATTTCAATGTTCTTGCTTTGGGGATAGAAAAGTTAAGATGAGAGGTAGAGATTGTCCCCACTGGGCGTTCCAGAATTTGTAGACAATAAATTGCATCGAGAAAATAAAATCAAAACCGAAAAATATTGCAACAATCGTAGTATTTTATTTCAAATATTTGAGTGTTACAATCTCTATGATTCCTCTGATTCTATTTTCTAATATAAATTCAAGGGCTTTTTGAGTTTGATCTAGAATTTTAATTTGACTTATCCGTCGCAAGCACTTTGATTATTGCCACTAATTTTATTACGAACAAGTAGCCTTGATCTTGAACGCCTTGTGTTTGATTTGACGTCGTTCTTGATCTTGAATACTTGAATTGTTCTTCTTTCTTGAGCTTGAACTTGATTTGTTCTCCGTTTTTGAACTTGAACTTGGTTGCTTGAAGCCTGAAACTTGTAGAGAAATTTGCGACGTTTGATCCACGAGCTCTCTCTTGCTTCTTGTTATAACTTCTGGTGTCTTTTTTGAGTTATGAAGACCCCTATTTATAGTTGTGGAAGGGAGGAGTTGTGATAAGAACAAACTCTTTCCGACCAATCAAATTGAAGTGTGACATGACCGCATTTGATTGGCCAGAACATGTCACTTGCACATGTGACACGATTTCATTAGCCTTTTAATGTCTTGGCATGCCTTGACATTTTGACACGTGGCATGGTCCTATTGGCTCCTCCATTTGACATGGCGTGCTACGTCATTTGACATGTGGCACCAAAGTGGGCCTCTAGGAAGATGATATATTGGGCCTAATAACGTGAGCTCATCACTTTAGCCCAATTAAATGGGCTAGCCCAATGGATTAAGACTTATTTATTTAATACATATATATTGAATTATGTAATTAATCCAATTATATTAGCCCAATAAATTTATTTGAACTAATATATCTTGAATTTAAAATATAGTCCGAATTATTTTACAGATTTAATTTCAACAAGACTTATATGCCTACAAATGCATAGCCATCTTCACAAGTTAATGGAGTAGAAACGAATAACTTGAGTGGAATAATATTGTGATGAGTGGCGGTATTTACGTCTTTGAATTTGAATGGAGAGAAAAAAAAAATTATCGGTTACTCAATACTACTGTTTTTTTTTAAAATTATTTTTCCTTAATTGAACTTTATTGATTCCCCCGTAAACAATGAAATTATACTTTTAATATTTTTCAAGGAACTAATATATTAATATGCAAATAGTTAAGAAAAAGATATGTATAGAAAAAGACACATACCTTAAGGGTTCAAATTGCAAATAACTTAAATTTTCAAATTTAATATATTATTTTTCAAAAGGATTTTGAAAAATGAGTTTAACCTCTTTTGCCAAAATAGTTTAAAAAAATAATAGCAAAAATTAAAAAAATTAGTTTGCTTCCGAATTTTGGAAACCTTGATTGGGCAAAAACTTTCAGTTTTTTTTTTCAATTAAAAAACTTTTAATTTTTAGCTAATGGGCGCATGAACATACTAAACACAACCAATTTCTAAGAGCAACACACCCAATGTGATTCTACAAGTACGAGTATGGGGAAGATAAGATATGCAAAATTTTATTTTCTTGTGTGAGGTAGTGGAACCGTTTTCGAAAGACCATCGGTTCAAGAAAAACGTTTTCAAAACAGTTTTAAAAATACGGAGTAAAGAACTAAAATGAAAATACGAAAGAAAAGAAAATTATTGACAGAAAAATTAGTAAAGATAACTGTTTATTTTTACTTTTCAGGAAAAGAAAAAACAAAGGTGAAAAAAAAAATATCAATAAAATTATATTATTACTTTTTTATTTTTATTCAAATACAAACAAATTATAAATGCGGTCAACCACTTCTTAGGATTCTCTGCAGCTTTCCCCATTTCTTCAGCCACTCCCCTTTAATAATATTTTTTAATTATTATTATTATTATTATCTATAGAATTTATTTACTCTTAATTAATATTAGTGTATATTGTTTTCACAATTGACGTACTATGACCATCTTTCCACGAAATCCAACTATTTTTCTTCAAACTCCATAGTCAAAAGAAAAAAAGCGACGGCAGTTTGTGTAAATCATCTCATTTAAGCCTTATTCCTTATATGTAATCACTCCCGCTCATTCCCCCCAACCTTTAATCTTCCTCTCTCTCTCTCTCAAAACCCTAAAGCTAACACTCCACTGACTCTGAGAAAAATTCATGAGCTCTCATACACCTTAGCATTTACCAAAGACCCATTTGAATTTGCTATTGCTCTTTTATTGCTTGAAGGACAGGATAATATCAGTTCTTTCCTTGTAAGTTCATACATTTAAGCTTTTTCTCTTATATAATTATTTTGCTTCAATTAATTGTTTGTTTAATAGTTGTAATAATTGAACACCCTTTTCCCTATTATGCTTGCTCTTTTATTTTTGGCAATTCTTTTGCTTAACTAGAAAGTGGTTTTTTATTGAGTTTTGTGTTAATTTAGCTTTGAGTGTGTTCACTTCCTCCATCGTTTTGTGTTTTCAGTGAATTTAAATTCGCTAAGGGTACGTCTGCTGAATGCTGATAATTAATTTGTTAAAGCTGTTTTTTTCGGGTGAATTTATCAACAAAAAAAATTTGTGGGTTAAAGTGGTTTACTCTTGAGAATACAATGATAAAGTGGGTTTTCTAATATTGGAAAAAATATATGCAGATATGCTTGTGTTATGGGAAGTTCAGAGGTATTAGAGAATGGGGCTGTGAGTAATGGGAATGGTATAAAATCACGCGATGAGGATGACTTTGAGGGGATAACAAATGGTGGGTTTGAGAAAATGATTAATGGTGGAAAGGAAAATGAGAATTTGGGTGATGAGATTTTGGAGGATTTTGATACTTATTGGGAAGATATCAACGACCGCTTAATGGTATCGAGGATGGTGAGCGACTCGGTGATTAAGGGAATGGTGAGCGCTGTGGAGCAAGAGGCGGCTGAGAGGCTAGCTGCTAAGGAAATTGAATTAACCAACTTGAAGGAGTATTTGCAATTTCATGATGGGGGTCTTAGCAAAATTGAATCTCTTGGGTCACTCACATTGCAGGATGAGCTAGAAAGCATAAATTTTCGAAAAAACTTGAGTCTATCAGATGTTTTTATGGAGCATGACAAGATGGGAGACTTTCTTGATGGGCTAAGAAGTTCGGCAAAGGTTGAATTCACGAAGTTGAATAAGAGTATTTATGAGGTTAGAGGATCCAATTGTATCAGGAACATCAGCCCTCGCTCTGAGATGATGGGACTAGAAGGTATTCTTCAGGAGAAGGATTCTGGAATTTGGGATCAGGTGGACAAAACAATAGATAACCTGAAAATGATGGTGAATACCATCTTTAAGCGAATGGATGATATGCTACAATTGTCCAAGACATCACTTGGTCAGTGGCAGGAGGAGCATCTCACTGAAGTGGAGCTTGAGGCCATGATAATGCGCAGTGTAATTCGGACTGTGCAGGAAGACCTTGAGTACAAATTATGGGACCAGTATGCTCGATTGTGTGGTGATCGAAATGAGAAGTTGAATGACATCTCTAGTTTACGGATGGATTTGGAAGCTGTTTTAAAGTCATTGTCAAGTTCTGAAACAGGGCATTTGAATTCCCATGGATTGCATGATGTTGATTTCTTTGCACGCAAGACATCAAGTGAGCATGTGACTTCTTCAAAATCTGTTTGGGATGGAAATGAGAAGATGGAGGATTCTAAGACTGATATACCTGAGAACTTTGATGCTGCCACGTTAAAGCACATGTCAAGAGACGAAATGGTGAACCATTTTAATAATATTCTGACAAAGATGAAGAGACACCATGAGTCCATTCTGCAAAAGAAAACCGATGAATATTTTGTTCTAAGAGCAGATTATCTAAAGCTTAGAGGAGGCTCTGCTGTGCCACACAAAAAGGATAAGGGTGAATTTGATGTTCTAAGGAAGAAAATTCCAGAAATTATATTCAAATTGGATGATATTCTTGTGGAGAATGAAAAACATCCTGCATTTACCCAGGAGACTCTAAGTTTCGGTAACTTGAAGGATAGGCTTGATAGCCTTCTTTCTGAAAATCACCAGCTCAGAGACTTGCTTAGAGATAAGAAAAATGAAGTTAAGTCCCTTTTGTCCCAGGTTTCCGATGCTACTGAGAAGAGGCTGCAACATTCTTCTGTGGAAGCAGACATGCTAAAACAGATAGGAGATCTCAATTTAGCCATGGAACGGTCACTCATAGAAGCTTCTGTAAGGGAAGAAGTGTATACTTGTTTTCTAAGGGATCTTAGCAGAGGGACAGGAAATGAAGTTGAGGAATTAAACTTGGGAATTGATATGATTAATGATAGTAACGATACTAATGCTGGACGTACTAGAAAGGTTGAAATTGAAGATTTGGGTATGGAGGGCCTGATTATGCAAGAAATATGTGGAGTGATTTTCGGTGAAGGCATCAAGGAGGCTAAAGGCATTCTCAAGGAGCTGTATTATGAGTATTTGAATGAAAAAGAAATTCGAATATCTCTTGAGACCAAAGTTATTCAGATGGAAAACGAATTGAAATTCGAGGTTGAAGAGAAAGACAGGCTAAAGCAAAATGTTTCTGTGCTGGAAACGTCTGTGAACAAAAAGGAAAGGTTAGCAACAGATGCTTCAGCTGCTCTAGCAAAAGAGAGGAAGCAATTTGAGCAGGTGTGCCAAGAGTTAAATACTGTGAAAGAGTTTGCAAGTCAGCAACAAACATTAGCTTCTGGGTGCAACAAAGAAGTAAATGTAGTAAAAGGCCAGTTGGCAGAAGCATTGGAGAAAATTGAAGTATTGAAAGTGGAAGCAGCCCAATTAAATAAAAGTCTTGAGGAGAAGGCCGGGGAGTTAAAAGAAGCTAATTACCAGGCACATACAGTCCTTGCAATCTCTGAAGAGAGGCAAACTGTTTTGTCCTCACTTGAAGCAAAAGAAATTGAGCTAAGAAAGCAGGTGGAAACAATTATTGGTAATATAAATGAATCGTCAAAGATGCTTGCTGATTTTGAATGCAGGGTGACAGGAAGTTTGATAACAAATAACGCCAGGTCAGTGCTTCCCTAACCTTTTCAATAAATAATTGAAATATCATAGTGCCAGTATGTACAGAAAGGCTTTTTGTCCCTTCAAATACGCAGAGAATCCAAAAAGTTGGCAAAAGAACACCCAAAAGGAACTGCAGGTTACACCAAGAACATAATATTTGTAAGACGCTACTTTCTAAAGCAAACACTGATATGGACTTGTTTTCAGAACGCCTAGTGTTCTGTTCTTGTCATAAGGACCTAAAAACAAACAAAGGGACACTATTCTGGTGACCGTTATACTTTTTTGTTTGTAGCAATTTACCAACTCATCTGGATTTTTTAAAAACAGACATAGGTTTTTTCTATTTCAGTCGTCCAAATTATCTATAAAAAAAGTAGATAGAATAACTTCGGCCTTGTCAATTGCTAATGAAAGAACGAAATCCGGGTCGACTAGCTTCTTTCCAGCAAAGCTTACCATTCCTACACTCCTTTCTTCTATGTCTAGTGGAGCTATTCCCAGACAGTTTGTGGCATTGTGCCCTTTCATCTTTTCAACGTGCAGCAATCTCCCATTAACTTTTTCTCTCAAAACAAGAGCTCAAACCTCATGTACCTTACAAGTCAATGATACTAGTGTAAAATGGATAAGATATATGTTTTGAGNTGGCGTCCATTCCACCCTAAGGAGGCAAGGACCAAGCTCAACACAAGCGATTGAAGCTGGGGAATGTTAGGAGGAAAGTTGCTCTTATGGCAACTGGGATGAAATGCCCGAATGAGAAGGAAAAGCTGGAATGAAGGAATGTGGAAGCTTTCCGTAGCAAAAGCAATTTGGGGCTGCCATTTAATTTTGGAGTAGACGAAGCAAATCAAATGCTTATTTACTTTAGATTTTAATTTTTCTCAACCAATCAAAACAATCGACAATGTAAACCAGATACAACTAAGCCAAAGGCTTTCAGAAATTAATAAATACTAGGTTAGAAATTCCTATCAGGGAGCTGGCAGCAAAGGATGAGTGTTTAGGAGATGAAATTGAGAAGGAAGAAGGTACAAAGGAGAAAAGAAAGGAAGGGATAAAAATTAAATCTTCTCTCTGCTTATTCCTTCTCCCCAAAAAAAAAATAAAAAAATCTCTCTACTTATCCAAAAAAAGAAAAAGAAAAAAGGAAGGAATAAAAAAACAGACTATATTTTTGCCCTCAGATTGATGGTTGTCTAATAAATTGGCTGATGTGCATTTCGTATGGAAAAAGGGGTATAATGCCACAAAAAGTAGTTAAGGGGGTAAAAGATTTAATAGCTTGAGATGCTGTGTAAAACTTTTCATCTTTTCCCTTATATCTTTCTTGTTTTTGATAGGTAATAACCTGCATATTTCCTTATTGTGAAAAAAGGTTTAGGTTTTGGTGCCACCATATCAATAGTATTGGATATTTTATGCTTGTTGACCTATTAAATGATATATCCTTCTACCTTTTCATTTCTCATCCCATATTTGCCTATCCGGAAGTTTAATGGTCTAGGCCTCCTTTGCTTGTAATTAACTCTCTTCCAATAATTAACTTGTTTTTTTTCCATCTGCCAGCCAAAAGATAAAAAGAAGGAAATGACATTTTGCTTTATCAATTTTTTTGTTCTACAAGCCTCTTTAGTTGCTATTTGTTCTTGTGTGTGCATATCTTTTTCAAACGGTATATCATTTGTGGTGTATTCTTTGGGTGATCAACCCTAGCTCCATTTTTGTTTCGGAAGTATTGGTAGTGTTTTGCATTTGCCGTCACGTTTCTAGGTAAGATTGGCGTAAACATTCTGTTCTAGTAGGGGAAAAAGTGGGGAAAAGATCACGTAAACAATTTTGTTTAACTGGTAGACACATACATATACATTTCAATACCTTTTTCTGCTCAGAAGACATGACTCTTGCGAAGTTTACATTGGATTATCTGTACTAAGACCTTACGCAATTTGTTGGTAATACTTTCAGGTTTCAGAACTCGTCTTCTCAATTGGATTCTCTTGTTAAAAAGGCAAATTTGCTGAGAAGAACAATGCTACTATACCAACAAAGGCTTGACAGAAGATGTTCAGACCTTCAATTGGCCGAGGCTGAGGCAATTACATAAAATGCATCTTTCGTGATATTTCTGTAGTTTTTGCTGATAAATAGCAAATTAGCAATTAACTATGCAATAATTCTAATTGAAACTTAAGCTTTTAATCTAGAGTGGGATCTGGAATTTGAAATTGATGGGTTCGACCTTTAAAGTTCTTAGCACTGAACTCACCGTACTTCTTAAATTATGGGGTTGGAATCTGATATTAGTTGAAATATGTGATTTTTTACATATAGATCTGTGTTCCTTGTCAAAAATACTGGCTCTGTTCAACCCGTAGCTCAAATGCTACGGGTTTTACTATAGTTTACCTAGGTTTTCTAATAGGTTTTGTTGTACATTCAGGTTGATCTTTTGGGAGATGAGGTGGATACACTTTTAAGCCTACTTGAGAAGATTTATATAGCACTTGATCATTACTCGCCAGTTTTGCAGCATTACCCTGGGGTAAGATGAATAATGTCTTAAAAGATATGTTATACCATTCCTGTGAGACTAGTGTTAGTCTGGTTTATTGATTCAGCAATATGAGTTTAATAGTCATCTCTAAGTTCCAATGTGCTTCAAGTATGTAGGTAGGCTGCAAACTTGAAAATCTGTCCTTTGCATCTGAACATAAAGTAGTCACTCCTTCCAATCGAAGGATAAGTTGTTAGCTGGGTATCTAGTTGTTAGCATGTGCAACTCTTACAAACCAGTGGCTAAAGGTCAAGTGACGAGGGGTAAAGACTATACTCCTCTCTGCCACTGAAGATAATCGTTTTTTTTTTTGGGGG